AAAAATGGTAGACAAACGGGGGCTTATTGTCATTGAAAAATTAATTTTTGCCAAAATCTTTCCTAGTTTACCCTTATTTAATTTTCAGTATGTAAAACTAAATTATTGTTGGAATTAATAAAAAAATTGAATTTTCAAGAAGTTTGCATATTAAGTGGGGAAGATTTAATAAGGTAATAAAAGAACACAATAAAATATTTTATATTTGGAAACAAGTCTATATATTTGGGATAAGAAAAAAAGGAAACCAAGCCTATATAATTGGGAAGGGGGGAGTTTAAAATATTTTATTGAAAAAATATATGATTGAAAATAGTATGTAAAAAAAGTTCTTGAATAATGGGACTCAAACCAGAGAAGTTCCAGTTACGGCGAAAGACAAACTAGAGAGTTGGTGGCAATAAAATCCTAATAGCTTTGGCGGGAGAATAAATATTTGGAGTTTGTTGTATTAATTAATTGTTTGTAGTTCAATCTGTCAAAAAAATTGCTTTCGCACTGATTTTAATTTGAAAAAAGAAAAAAATTGGCATGGAGAATGGCCGGATTTTGGATTTGGGTCGGCCAAATTCTTGGTGGTTTGCAGCAGTGCTTTGTAAGTCACCAATACCAGCAATGGTGGCCGGAGCAATCGCAGGAATGGATAACAGGAAACAAAATGCAACACAGCCGATGTGCAGAAACAATACGTAGAACACGAAAAGTTATGAACATTTTAAAAATTTATATTTTAATTTTAGAAAACTATTTAATACTATGTAAATAATAAAATTATTCATAGTCATTCTAATCTAACTAAATTCTCATAACGAATACATTATTTATGTACTTAATGATAAAAGATAAATGAAGTACTTTCTTTTTTTTTTTCTTTTGAAGCCAATGAAATACATACTTTAGTATTCTCCTAAACAAAGTTTCAAATAAATGACTGTTCTTCAAATGACTTCCGATTCTAGAGTTTGAATTTTCTTTGATGGCTTTGGAATTGGAACAGTGAACGACCGGCAAAAACAATTGATAAAATTAGGCTTGTGTTAAAATCTAATAGGTTAATTCTTTAATATAATTGTTAAAAGTCCATTCTTTAGTTTGACCCAAAATTTTCTATATTAAAGTGTCCTATAAGCAAGGGTTTAGCGTCATCAGTTGCAAATGGAATGTCACGTGCATGAATATCTCTTGTTCCGGGCCTTCTGAGGCCCTCCATCATGTCCATCCATCTCATCCGTCATGTGAAAACCGAGCTGATCTACTTTGCCACATGGTGGACGAGCTAAATCTGTCCACCTTATCCACCACGTGTTAGCCGAGCTGATCGGCCTTGCCACGTGGTGGACGAACTGAATTCATGTCGGACGAACTGACTCCATAATTTTGAACTGAAACACTACTTTCCCACCTCGCAAAAGAGTTGAACTCGTCCGCCATTCACAGCGGATGCAAAGGCCCGCACTTTGCATTCGTTACACCTCACAGTTCGCCTCACCACGCCTCTACCAAGATCTTTTAAAATCTATTTAAAGTCAATTCCTGACTAATTGATGAGACGTTTGGCAGGCTACAGACGGTCAACTCAGCTACTACATCAAAAAACATTTAATGCACGCCAACCTACGGATTGACAAATTGACACCTATGAGAAAATCACCCGTCTAGGATCTGAAGCCACGTGACCCCACATCCAACGATTCTCCTCTTCATTCTTTTAGTATAAATACTCATGCACCAAGGTAAGGAAAGGATTCTGAATCTCGATTCCTTGAACTCTGGGAAGGAACAAGGCATTTTTACACATATATTTATTGTGACATTCCGATGGCCCTTTTTACCACCGAACATCACATATTTCGTTTACCGAATCACTAACTTGACCGTCGGAGTGCTCGCGGCCGCTTCCACCCCCACCGAAAAGGGCCACGGGTGACTAATAGTGTGCTACTGTGAGCAGAGAAGAGCTTGCGTGGAGATTTCATCTGTTGGCCACGTGCCGAAGCCATTTTTCGAGGTCAACAT